CTGTCCACAGAAGCAATCAATCAGATTCCAAACTCTCCACCATGGCCAAGACCAAAGAGCTCTCCAAGGATGTCAGGGACAAGATTGTAGACCTACACAAGGCTGGAATGGGCTACAAGACCATCGCCAAGCAGCTTGGTGAGAAGGTGACAACAGTTGGTGCGATTATTCGCAAATGGAAGAAATACAAAAGAACTGTCAATCTCCCTCGGCCTGGGGCTCCATGCAAGATCTCACCTCGTGGAGTTTTAATGATCATGAGAACGGTCAGGAATCAGCCCAGAACTACACGGGAGGATCTTGTCAATGATCTCAAGGCAGCTGGGACCATAGTCACCAAGAAAACAATTGGTAACACACTACGCCGTGAAGGACTGAAATCCTGCAGCGCCCGCAAGGTCCCCCTGCTCAAGAAAGCACATATACATGCCCGTCTGAAGTTTGCCAATGAACATCTGAATGATTCAGAGGAGAACTGGGTGAAAGTGTTGTGGTCAGATGAGACAAATGGAGCTCTTTGGCATCAACTCAACTCGCCGTGTTTGGAGGAGGAGGAATGCTGCCTATGACCCCAAGAACAGCATCCCCACCATCAAACATCATGGTGGAAACATGATGCTTTGGGGGTGTTTTTCTGCTAAGGGGACATGGACAACTTCACCGCATCAAAGGGACGATGGACGGGGCCATGTACCGTCAAATCTTGGGTGAGAACCTCCTTCCCTCAGCCAGGGCATTGAAAATGGGTAGTGGATGGGTATTCCAGCATGACAATGACCCAAAACACACAGCCAAGGCAACAAAGGAGTGGCTCAAGAAGAAGCACATTAAGGTCCTGGAGTGGCCTAGCCAGTCTCCAGACCTTAATCAGCCTCGAAACCTTAGACTTGGAGAAGATCTGCAAAGAGGAGTGGGACAAAATCCCTCCTGAGATGTGTGCAAACCTGGTGGCCAACTACAAGAAACGTCTGACCTCTGTGATTGCCAACAAGGGTTTTGCAGAGGGGTCAAATAATTATTTCCCTCATTAAAATGCAAATCAATTCATTACATGTTTGACATGCATTTTTCTGGATTTTGTTGTTGTTATTCTGTCTCACTGTTCAAATAAACCTACCATTAAAATTATAGACTGATCATTTCTTTGTCAGTGGGCAAACAGTACAAAATCAGCAGGGGATCAAATACTTTTTTACCTCACTGTACATATACATATACATGACCAAAAGTATGTGAAAGTCTCATTCCAAAATCATGGGCATTAATATGGAGTTGGTCCCCCCTCTGCTACTATAACAGCCTCCACTCTTCTGGGAAGGTTTTCCACTAGGTGTTGGAACATTGCTGCGGGGACTTGCTGTCATTCAGTCACAAGAGTATTAGTGAGGTCGGGCACTGATGTTGGTCGATTAGGCCTGGCTCGCAGTCGGCGTTCCAATTCATCCCAAAGGTATTCGATGGGGCTGAGGTCAATTCTACTGCCAATGTTTGTCTATGGAGATTGCATGGCTGCATACTCAATTTTATACACCTGTCAGCAAGGGGTGTGGCTGAAATATCCGAATCCACTAATTTGAAGGCAATGACTTCCCATCGCCAAAGTTGTACCTTTCCAACTGCAAGCTGACTAAACGTGGTGAATTGTTTGTGATTTTTATGGCCTTGGTGAGTTTGATTAGTTATTTCACTACCCAATTAAACAACGACTTTGCCCATCGTAAACCGTGGAGGAGAGTTAACTTTAGTCGGCTACTAGCTTGCTATTTCATCAACTTGTGCAGCAAGCAAGTTAGCCAATTTGCTAGCTAACTCACAGCTGCTTGTTTCCGTCCCTTGTATCTTAAAGTAAAGATTATGACTTCACATGCGTCCAAGGTTTACAGACCCTTTCCTTCCTGGACGTTGAATGGAATGAATGGCTTGGCAGCGGTTAACCAACAACAATGTCAAGCTAACTTAGCTAACGTTAGTTAGCCAGCCGAGTTAGCCAGATGGCTAACCATTCATCACTAGATGTTCCCTGGCAAATCAAGAGGAGAACGTTACCTAGTAGCTAGCTAGTTTAACCAGCTAGTTAGCATGTACCCGTGTTATACCCGAGTCCCCTAGCTACAATACCTACCTACGTTGACTTAAACTCCAACAGTAACTGCAGTAATTGGCAATGAATCTTGGCCATCATAATTTGATAACATAACTAGCTACCTAGTTAGTTATTTGGCTAGCTAACAACACCTGTAGACGCGACACTCCTCTTTCGCTCGGGCCCTTCGAAACTCACCTTACTCCGAACGTGTCCACTCTGCTTTCACCCGCTAATTCACAACGCTTGGTCGGCGTCCAGTTTTGCCACGTCTCAAATTCCCCAAACCAATATAAAATCGAATCAGAATCCAAAGCACGTCGTCTGCTTGTCTTGAAATATGTTAACGCAGACCCTGTGTTCGTTTGGTAGCTATTCCACTTTTCCTTGGTTTGTCCCGTCAAAGCAGACTCGTTGTTTCCTGATGATGCCCCTGACCCGCAGAGCGCAACTTAACTGGCTAGCCTCCTCTAAGTGACTCCTCCCTTCACATCCCCTTCCGGGATACGACTCAGCAGGGGACGGGGGCATGACGGTTTGGCTCCAAATGTAATAAATAAATAAAACATAGGAATTTCCCCAAATACATTTTCAGAAGTTGCATGAAGTATAAGGTCTCAAATTCATTCTGAAGTTTAGAAGATAGTTTATTTTTGTAGAATTGCCTTATTTATAGTTTAACAATCATTCCATATTTATGGCACTTTCTAAGTAATTGTACAAAACAATATTATTACAGTCCTTTGACTTGCAACAACAAGATATTATTCTTCACTTGATTTAGTGCTTGCCAATTATTAACTGTATTAAAATCATGATAGCTTAAGGCACTCTGAAGAAAAGTCTTACAATAGATTGCTTTACCTGCTCATTTTGACCCCACCGGATTGATTAAACATGACTACATAAGCAAACAAAAGATCCTGCAAATCAATAGGAATGTGCTTTTTTTGTGGTCAAGTTGTACATAATGGACAAATGTACAGTGTTTGCTCTTCATAGGCTCATGACCCGAGCTCCTTGTGAGGGAGTTGTGATGTAGAAAGTTGGGGATCCACTGTATCGCTCCTGTAGAGAAAAATCCACAGCTAATGAGTTCATTCATTTGCGTTTGAGTTTACTCAAAATATTGAAAAATGTAATGGAAGGATAAAAGTGAAGCCATCATCACCATATTGCTTGCACATACAGTGCATTCGGAAAGTATTCAGACCCCTTGACTTTTTCCACATTTTGTTACATTACAGCCTTATTCTAAAAATGAGATCTTTTAGATTTTTTTTCTCCTCAATACCCCATAATGAAAAAGCAAAAACTGGTTTTTAGACATTTTAGCAAGTTTATTAAAAATAAAATACTAAAATATCACATTTACATAAGTATTCAGACCCTTTACTCTGTACCTTGTTATAATAATATGCCATTTAGCAGACGCTTTTATCCAAAGCGACTTACAGTCGTGCGTGCATACATTTTTGTGTATGGGTGGTCCCGGGGATCGAACCCACTACCTTGGCGTTACAAGCGCCGTGCTCTACCAGCTGAGCTACAGAGGACCAGAGCTACAGACGATTACAGCCTTAAGTCTTCTTGGGTATGACGCTACAAGCTTAGCAAACCTGTATTTGGGGAGTTTCTCCCATTCTTCTCTGCAGATCCTCCCAAGCTCTGTCAGGTTGGATGGGGAGCGTCACTGCACAGCTATTTTCAGGTCTCTGCAGAGATGTTCGATCGGGTTCAAGTCCGGGCTCTGGCTGGGCCACTCAAGGACATTCAGAGACTTGTCCCGAAGCCACTCCTGCGTTGACTTGGCTGTGTGCTTAGGGTCGTTGTCCTGTTGGAAAATGAACCTTTGCCCCAGTCTGAGGTCCTGAGTGCTCTGTAGCAGGTTTTCATCAAGGATCTCTCTGTACTTTGCCCCGTTCATCTTTCCCTTGATCCTGACTAGTCTCCCAGTCCCTGCCGCTGAAAAACATCCCTACAGCATGATGCTGCCACCACCATACATCACCGTAGGGATGGTGCCAGGTTTCCTCCAGACGTGACGCTTGGCATTCAGTTCAAAGAGTTCAATCTTGGTTTCATCAGACCAGAGAATCTTGTTTCTCATGGTCTGAGAGTCTTTAGGTGCCTTTTGGCAAACTCCAAGTGGTCTGTCATGTGCCTTTTACTGAGGAGTGGCTTCTGTCTGGCCACTCTACCATAAAGGCCTGATTGGTGGAGTGCTGTAGAGATGGTTGTCCTTCTGGAAGGTTCTCCCATCTCCACAGAGGAACTCTGGAGCTCTGTCAAAGTGACCATCGGGTTCTTGGTCACCTCCCTGACCAAGGCCCTTCTCCCCCGATTGCTCAGTTTGGCCGGACGGACAGCTCTAGGAAGAGTCTAGGTGGTTCCAAACTTCTTCCATTTAAGAATGATGGAGGCCACTGTGTTCTTGGGGACCTTCAATGCTGCAGAACATTTTTGGTACCCTTCCCCAGATCTGTGCCTCGACAAAATCATGTCTCGGAGCTCTACGGACAATTCCTTCGACCTCATGGCTTGGTTTTTGCTCTGACATGCACTGACAACTGTGGGACATTATATAGACAGGTGTGTGCCTTTCCAAATCATGTCCAATCAATTGAATTTACCACAGGTAGACTCAAATCAAGTTGTAGAAACATATTAAGGATGATCAATGGAAACAGGATGCACCTGAGCTTAATTTCAAGTCTCATAGCAAAGGGTCTGAATACTTATGTAAATAAGGTATTTCTGTTTTTGATTTTTAATACATTTTCTAATATTTCTAAAAACCTGTTTTCGCTTTGTCGTTACGGGGTATTGTGTGTAGATTGATGAGGGAAAATATGTATTTAATCCATTTTAGAATAAGGCTGTAACGTAACAAAATGTGGAAAAAGTCAAGGTGTCTGAATACTTTCCGAATGCACTGTATCTGTTTCCTTCGAATCTGCAAACACAGCTGCTTGGGGGCTGAGTAGATGGATAGGAGGAAGAGACTAGCTGTTTTCCAAACAGGCATCTTTCCTCTTCCATACTAATATTTTCCTCTCACATACTTCCTCCATTCTAAAATTACACATCTCATCCCCCTTCCTACAGGACAGGAACTTGAACCAGTCTGAATGATAGGGGTTCAGGGAGAAATACCTTTCATTTGGTAGTGTTTATTAAATTGATGAGCTGTAAACATATCTACAGACTGGTTAGTTTATTACACAGTACACAGAACTCTGTAACACTGTTTTACAAAACAATACCAGCAAATATACTCATACCCGCTCTGTGGAATGGTCGGATCACCCCTCCTACCAGTGCAGCACACTCTCTCACAGATACTCCACCACAAACTCACTCTATCACACACCCGGTCTCCGTCTCTCGCTGTCTCTTTAAGAATTGCACTGATCATTAACAGGACGAGCTGACAACCATTCCTTTCGTTGGGGACAGGGTCTATTCTGTAAAACCAGATGAAGGCCTACCCTACAGTTTAGAACAGACTACAACACGTCAAGAACAGTCTGCTCCACTGCAGGGCTACTGAGGTCAGAGTTCGTTAGAGGGTTCAGATGGTAGGATCAGTCTCAGCTTCACATCAAAGAGAGGATTGTAAACATTATAGAGCGACCTTTAAACTTTCCAATAGTTAGTAAAGTCTGTTAGTTATAGACCATTCATAAGCAGTCATGTTCAGTAGGTTGGAAACATTATAGGGTGACCTTTTGTTCTTTTAGTCTGAGTAAGTCTATAACTGGTGGTTCAGTGGTGAGCTGGAACGTGCTATATCACTACCGTACAAGCTGCAAAGTACGGCAGTTCAAAATGTCCATGGGGTCAGGGGTCACTGAGTCGACCCTAAAACCCTCCGCCAGAGACACCGTCAGAAGCTCCTCCACAAACCCGCACATGTCTTTGACCTCACAGGGGCTGCAGCGCGGGATGATGACATCACAGAGCTCCCCAGAGTGGGTCTGTGTGGCCCAAGAGTCCGAGACGACGAGTCCTCGGTACTGCTGTTTCTCATACTGGTCCTGGGGAAGTTCGTCTGGCCGGGGAACCCACTCCAGTTTGAGCCGGTTGTGGCGCTGGTCACTGGGTTGGGGGGAGGTAGGACCCTGGGTGGTGCGGTAGGAGAAACGCTCACAAAGGAGAACCAGAAAGGCACGCCAGGTACAGAAGATTTCGGCTGTGAGGATGCGCACTGAGCATGTGCGGAGTTCATAGTTCTCGGGAGCACGGCGTAGATTGAAGTGTAGCACGCGCACCTGGAATGAGACAAACAGGTTGATGCTGCAATGACACACCCACGTTCCACATGAACCAACCCACACTACAATGCTAACAAACATGCAAAATACACACACACACACACACACACACACACACACACACACACCTGGCAGTCCACGTCCACCAGCAGCATGGCTCCTCTGGGTGCGTCTCTCAGGCTGAGCGGTCCGGCCTCGATGCGCCGCCGTATGTCATCCAGAAGGGGGCGTATCTGGAAGAAATCTGCCTCCCTCCTCAGCAACCTCATCTCAGAGAACCCCTCCGGCAGGTCCAGGGAGCTGGAACGCAGGAAGTTCAGGATATAGCGGAAAACCTTCCCGTCGCGGTCGATGAACACATTCCCGCGTTTGTCCCGGAGCGTGGAGATCCGTCCGGTGAACATAGCCCCCAGCATGGAGTCTTGGTACCGCGTCAGAGTGTCCAGGGTCGTGGTGTAGATCTCACCGCCAACGTTGAGAGACACGGGGTCCGACAGGGAGTTACTGTTGCTGTTAGTGTTGCTGTCCGGGGAGTTTAGGTTCAGCATCCTCAGGCACCGAGAACGACCTCCGCTTAGGCTAGAACACTAGATTAGAACACTTTGGATTGGAAGTGGTAGAACTCTTGCTAGAAAACTTGTGGAACACTCCTGTTTTTGTCTCTTTCTATGGAACGCAGTGGACTGTTCAAATGAAGTCTTTTGTATCCTGAAGACACTTTTCCTTTCAGAGGTGGAAGGGCGAAGCTGTAGCCGGGATATGAGCGAGTCACAAAAAGACCCAAGAATTATGAGAAGACAAAAAGATCAGAAAAGATTGGCTCAGTGTTTCTGGAAGCTGCATCTGTAAAAAGCCGGTGCTCTGACCAGGTCGATTTATCTTTCAGTAGTTTTGTTTCTTCATGGTCTTGTGCTGTTTAGGATTCCTGTCGGTGAGCTGAGGCCTGGCTAGTTGCATAAGACTGTTTGTGTCAGAGCTGCTGGCAGTGAGAGACGGGAGAGAAGGACAGCAAGGCGACCGGACTTGAATGTTAATAAAGGGGCGCTGCTAGCTTTTATTCTCCTGCCGTAACCCCTGCTCAGTGCTCTCTCACACACACAGACAGGGGTGCGTGCACAAACACACAAACTCTCTCTCTTGGGGCTGTCCGGGCAAGACACAGGGGGGTGGAGCAGTTTGTCTTAAAGTGACAGAAGAGATTCTAAAAGCGCTTTTATCCACAGTGATTAGTTTGTGCAAGCTTGTCACCAAGTCCCCTTCACACAGTGTGTGTGTATGTGTGTGTGAAATCACATTTTATTGGTCACATACACATATTTAGCAGATGTTATTGCGGGTGTAGCGAAATGCTTGTGTTCCTAGTTCCAACAGTGCAGTAGTATCTAACAATTCACCTGCCGTGTGTGTGTGTGTGTGTGTGTGTTCTTCCTCACCTGTATGTGCTGCATGGTCCTGTCTACGGCTCCAGCCTGGAGTAGTGTGACAGTACATCCTCCAAACCCTCCCCCTGTCATTCTGCTGCCGAACACACCCTCCACCTCCACGGCTGCAGACACCAGCTCGTCCAGCTCCTTGCAACTCACTTCATACAGGTCCCTGATGGTAGGGAAAACATTATGGAGGGATACTTTACATTTCTATCATATTTTTCATGTGTGATGCATAAAAAAAGTATTCGCCCATTAATGCATTTACTGTGTCGAGGATTTATTTGAGGGTGTTCTCTATTCACCTGAGTGAGTTGTGGCTTTCCACCATGAGTTTGCCAAACTCTTTGTAGGCCCCTTTCTTCAGGGCCTCTGCTGCCTGGGCCGTACGTGCTATCTCTTCAATCACATGACGAGCCCTTCGATAGGTCTCATCGTCCAATCGGCTCTTAGCATCTGGAAAAATGGAGAAAAAAAATCACAAAAAAATCATAACACAACGATTGAATGTATTAGAACAGAATATCCTCTTGTTCTCACCCTCCAGGTCCTTCAGTGTGGCATCTCTCAGGCTGGCCTTTCCCAAGATGGCAGCTGCCTCCTCACACTGTCGTCGTCTGCTAGGGTACTCGCTGCCCGTCAGAGAATGCTTCACGTTCGAGTTACTGATGAGGATGACCAGGCCTGGGTCTGACAGAGGGACAGGAGTGGCCTCCAGAGACCTGAGGGGACAATGAGGAAGATTCTTTAGTAAACTATTGGATAACCAAAGTTAATTACACACATGACAAACAAGGAGTCATAATTAAACATTGGTACATTGCTGTTGCTAGGCAAGAACTTAGTGAATTCCTCTCACTAGGTTTGTGTGTGTGTAAAATGGGCATCAAATTCTACAGTTGTCTTATGTTAGCTGTGACTGCAACCAGACTATGACCCTGTGGCTCTCCTTAGGCATATCCCTGGAATGAGCCAGGGTTGAACAGAGTTCAGGATAAACCTTTGTCTTTCCTTGGCTATCTTCTTGATTGATTACAGCATGATGAGGTGAGGTTTGTGTATGTTTGAAAGATTAAGTATGGACCTGTCATGTTCAACAATCAATCTTCAGGTCAAGCCCGGGAGAGCTGGGGTTGAACAGAGTTTAAACTGAACATTAGTGTTTTTGCATGACAAGGGTGTGACTGATTGCAATAATATTGTTTCTAAACTGAATGACAGTCAAATTAAGCCGCTACCATAGACGAAGGGAGTGGGCAGAGCAGTAGAGAGCGGGAAACTGAAGATAATGGTAGGAGAACCCAAGAGGGAGGGGTTTTGAGCTAGGAGGGATGTGAATAAAGTCAATCTGGATTTTTAATAAAGTATAGTGAGAATTTTCCACATCAACAACAGCAGCGTAATACACAGCAATAAGACAGTAACAACCCTTTTAAGTACAGCGTTAGCGTTATTTTAGCATGAACCTATAGCCTTTAGCATTAGCCATGATACTTTTTTATTTATTTTATTTTTTATTTCACTTTTATTTAACCAGGTAAGCCAGTTGAGAACAGGTTCTCATTTACAACTGCGACCTGGCCAAGATAAAGCAAAGCAGTGCGATAAAAAACAACAACACAGAGTTACATATGGAATAAACAAAACATAAAGTCAAAAATACAACAGAAAATATATATACAGTGTGTGCGAATGTAGTAAGTTATGGAGGTAAGGCAATAAATAGGCCATAGTGCAAAATAGTTACAATTTTGTATTAACACTGGAATGATAGATGTGCAAAAGATGATGTGCAAATAGAGATACTGGGGTGCAAATGAGCAAAATAAATAACAATATGGGGATGAGGTAGTTTGGTGGGCTAATTTCAGAATGGCTATGTACAGGTGCAGTGATCGGTAAGCTGCTCTGACAACTGACGCTTAAAGTTAGTGAGGGAGATAAGAGTCTCCAGCTTCAGAGATGTTTACAGTTCGTTCCAGTCATTGGCAGCAGAGAACTGGAAGGAATGGCGGCCAAAGGAGGTGTTGGCTTTGGGGATGACCAGTGAGATATACCTGCTGGAGCGCAGACTACGGGTGGGTGTTGCTATGGTGACCAGTGAGCTAAGATAAGACTGGGATTTGCCTAGCAGTGATTTATAGATGACCTGGAGCCAGTGGGTTTGGCGACGAATATGTAGTGAGGGCCAGCCAACAAGAGCGTACAGGTCACAATGGTGGGTAGTATATGGGACTTTGGTGACAAAACGGATGGCACTGTGATAGACTACATCCAATTTGCTGAGTAGAGTGTTGGAGGCTATTTAGTAAATGACATCGCCGAAGTCAAGGATGGGTAGGATAGTCCGTTTTATGAGGGCATGTTTGGCAGCATGAGTGAAGGAGGCTTTGTTGCGAAATAGGAAGCCGATTCTAGATCTAACTTTTGATAGGAGATGCTTAATGTGAGTCTGGAAGGAGAGTTTACAGTCTAACCAGACACCTAGGTATTTGTAGTTGTCCACATAATCTAGGTCAGACCCGCCGAGTGTAGTGATTCTATTCGTGTGGGCGGGTGCAAGCAGCGTTCGGTTGAAGAGCATGCATTTAGTTTTAGAGAAACCAAGGCTATTTAGTCTGCAAATAAGAATGCGGTGGTTGACAGAGTCGAAAGCCTTGGCCAGGTCGATGAAGACGGCTGCGCAGTACTGTCTTTTATCGATCGCGGTTATAATATCGTTTAGGACCTTGAGCGTGGCTGAGGTGCACCCATGACCAGCTCGGAAACCGGATTGCATAGCGGAGAAGGTATGGTGGGATTCGAAATGGTCGGTGATCTGTTTGTTAACTTGGCTTTCAAATACTTTCAAAAGTCAGGGCAGGATGGATATAGGTCTGTAACAGTTTGGATCTAGAGTGTCACCCCCTTTGAAGAGGGGGATGACCGCGGCAGCTTTCCAATCTCTGGGGATCTCAGACGTTACGAAAGAGAGGTTGAACAGGCTAGTAATAGGGGTTGCGACAATTTCGGCGGCTAAATTTAGAAAGAAAGGGTCCAGATTGTCTAGCCCAGCTGATTTGTAGGGGTCCAGATTCAGCAGCTCTTTCAGAACATCAGCTGTCTGAATTTGTGTGAAGGAGAAGCGGGGGGGGGGGGGGCATGGGCAAGTTGCAGCGGAGGATGCAGAGCTGGTGGCCGGGGTAGTGGTAGCCAGGTGGAACGCATGGCCAGCCGTAGCAAAATGCTTGTTGAAATTCTAGATTATTGTAGATTTATCGGTGGTGACAGTGTTTCCTAGCCTCAGTGCAGTGGGCAGCTGGGAGGAGGTGCTCTTATTCTCCATGGACTTTACAGTGTCCCAAAACTTTTTGGAGTTAGTGCTACGGGATGCACATTTCTGATTGAAAAAGCTAGCCTTTGCTTTCCTAACTGATTGGTTCCTGACTTCCGAACTGATTGGTTCCTGACTTCCCTAAAAAGTTGCATATCGCGGGGGCTGTTCGATGCTAATGCAGTACACCACAGGATGTTTTTGTGCTGGTCAAGGGCAGTCAAGTCTGAGGAGAACCAGGGGCTATATCTGTTCTTAGTTCTGAATTTTTTGAATGGGGCATGCTTATTTAAGATTGAGAGGAAAGCACTTTTAAAGAACAACCAGGCATCCTCTACTGACGGAATGAGGTCAATATCCATCCAGGATACCTGGGCCAGGTCAATTAGAAAGGCCTGCTCGCTAAAGTGTTTTAGGGAGCGTTTGACAGTGATGAGGGGTGGTCGTTTGACTGCGGACCCATTACGGACGCAGGCAATAAGGCAGTGATCGCTGAGATCCTGGTTGAAGACAGCAGAGGTGTATTTAGAGGGTAAATTTATCAGGATGATATCTATGAGGGTGCCCATGTTTACAGATTTAGGGTTGTACCTGGTAGGTTCGTTGATAATTTGTGTGAGATTGAGGGCATCTAGTTTAGATTGTAGGTTGGCCAGGGGTGTTAAGCATATCCCAGTTTAGGTCACCAAGCAGTACGAACTCTGAGGTTAGATGGGGAGCAATCAGTTCACATATGGTGTCCCGAGGGCACCGCTCAGGGCTGAGGGTGGTCTGTACAAGCGGCAACCTTAGAGACTTATTTCTGGAAAGGTGGATTTTTTTTAGAAGTAGGTAGGCATACTTCTTGTAGCCTTCCTAAGCCAGATGCAACCCCACGGCAGTTCTATCGAGAAGCAAAGGTGTTGGGTGGAAAGCAGTGTGCTAAGCCAGATTCAGAAACTCAAACTTAGGTAAGGTGAGGAGGCTTCAAAGTTAGACGGAGGCAGGGAGAAACCAAGGCTTTTGCGGTTACAGAAGTCAACAAATGATAACGCCTGGGGAGTAGGAGTGATACGGGGGGGTACAGGGTCTGGGTTAACCTCTTACATCACCAGAGGAACAGAGGAGAGTAGGAATAAGGATACGGCTAAAGGCTTTAAGTACTGGTCTTCTAGTGCGTTGGGTACAGAGAAAAAAAGGGGCAGATTTCCGGGCGTTGTAGAATAGATTCAGGGCATTATGGAAGGATATGAGTACAGTGGAGGTAAACCTAAGCGTTAGGTAACGATGAAAGAGATAGCATCACTGGAGGCACCGATTGAGTCGGTCTCCGTGTGTATGGGGGGTGGGACAAAGGAGCTATCTAAGGCAGGTTGAGCTGGGCTGGAGGATCTACAGTGAAATAGTACAATAAGAAATAACCGAAACAGCAATAGGCAAGGCATATTGACATGGGAGAGAGGCATAAAGCAATCACAGATGTTATTCGAGAGAGCTAAGACAACAGCTGGTAATGGCGACAAAGTTTGGGCTGAGGCTAAACATAAACAGGATGCGGTACCGTAAAAAGGAACAGTCCAGCAGGCATCAGCTGTATAGCTGAGTTATCATAAGGTCCGGTGAACAGCAATAGGAGAGTTCGGAGGTAGTTCGGGGGTTGCTATAGCACTGGCGAGCAAGAGGCCACGGCTAGCGTGTGCTAGCGGGCCGGGGCTAGCAGATGGATCTTCGTGGTCGACGTCATAACGGGAAGCCTGTTGTAACCACATCAGACGATTTCGTCGGCAGACCAGTCGTGTTGGATCGGCGGGGCTCCGTGTCAACACTAGGAGGTCCCATACGGTTGACAGAGAGGTAGATAGCCAGGAGATAGGCCTGGCTCTAGGCTAGCCCAAGGCTGATTAGCCAACAACAACGTCCATTTGGTTGCAGCTAGCTAGCTGCGATGATCCGGTGTTAAAGGTCCAGTGATTCAGGTGATTCCGGCAGAAAAAACGATATGTTCTGGGTCGATAACGCGCTGTGCAGACAGAGCAGACTGGCCGATAATAGTCCAGGCTAGAGCTGGCTGGTAGGTAGTGCAGGCCATGGACAATGGTGAAAAACCGCTAACGGTGGCTAATAGCAAGTAGCTAGTTAGCTGGCTACTCCCGTCCAGTAGACAGAGAGGTAGATAGCCGGGATATGGGGCTAGCTCGAGGCTAACTGGTGCTTGCTTCGGGGGCAGTGGTGATTAGCCAAACAGCAATATCCATTCGGTTGCTAGCTAGTTGCGATGCGGTGTTAATGTCCAGTGATTCAGTTATTCCGGCAGAAAAATCAGATGTTCTGGGTGAAAACCGCTAACGGTGGCTAATAGCAAGTAGCTAGTTAGCTGGCTAGCTAGTTTCAACTGGAGATTCTAGATAAAAGGTAAGTCAATAATAGAATCCGTTCCACATTGAGTGAGGTGGGTTGCAGAAAAGTATATTTTGTAGAAGGATGAAAGGTGTGATAGGTAAATATGTATAAAAAATACAAAAATAGGCTATTTACACAGACACACAACAAAGAACACTACCGCACTGCTACGCCATCTTGGATTCACACGCTTGAGCCTATAACCAGGCCTGTTACCTGCAGTCTATGAGTAGAGCGTGAGCCTCCCTGCCCAGTACAGAGACAAATTGGTCCATAATGCCACAGGGCACGCCTGCATGGGTGTGTTCAGCCTTCTGGCACGCCACCGCCTTCGCCACCTTGTCCCCGTCATCTGAGGAGGGTGGTGGGATGGCGTTATGACATGTAGCTTCACTCACAGACTATTGGATGTTACCCAAACATAGTCCACTCACCTGGCTTGAGCTGCTGTAGGAATGTGTACATGGCTACCTCTAGAGAGGCAGAGCTGGACAGACCTCCTCCTAGAGGGACACTACTGGCTATCACTGCCCTGAACCCTGGGACTGGAGGAGCTAAAGGGAGGGATGGGGAGAGAGAGCGGAGGGAGAGAGCGGAGGGAGATAGACAGAGAGCGAGAGATAGAGAGGGGGAGAGAGAGAGAGAGAGATAGAGAGAGGGGGGGGGGGGGGGGGGGGGGGGGGTTGGGGTGGTGTTAAAATATTTTAAAAGTGCGGAGTTGGACCTCCATGATGATGTAGCGATGTTGTGTCACGATAACATTTTAACAGGTCTCATGATGTGATACAGGAGGTATTGTTTTCTGTTCACCTCTGTAGTGATGCACCACTCCTTTGACATAATTGGCCCAGCTGGGTTTCCCAGGAGACAGAGGTGCCTTGTCATTGGGGAAGTCAAAGTCCACTCTCCTGGGCTCCTCCACATCTTTAGCAGCAGTAATGATGGAGGCACTCTGGCCAGAGGTCCTGCTGCCAACCACCACCGTCACTAGGGGAAGAGCCTGGCACAAGGGTGAAAGAGTTACAGCATTGGAGATATGTGACTGACTGATGAGTACTTCTGGGCTGTGGATCTGTAAAACCATGTAATGTACATCTCCTCTACATACAATGACCCTGTACTAATCAAATAATAACCAAATACTTAAGCTGTCAATGCAAACGGCAGGACTTTCATGAATCTGTGCACCCAGTGTGGACTGGACTAAATAAGTGACACTTTTCAGTCCTAAAGAAACAACCATCGATATCATAAACACAATTTTCATGACATTATTACCATAGGGAGGACGAATCCTTGGTTGTAGTCGATGTGCTCCCCTATCAGGTTGACCCTGCCTGGGGCACACACTGCCACCTGTGGAGCATCTCCCCCGAAGCTCTGCTCGAACACACGCCGAGCCTCGGCAACCAACTCCGACACACTCGGGACTGGACTGGCCATGAATGGAGCAGACGAGTAACGTTAGAGGAGACAAATCACGAATTCAGAGTCCAAAATCCAGCAGCAGCACTTTGGAAACTTCAACCATTAGAATCTTACGTGAGATTCTAAGTTTGAGATACCGTTTGAATCACGATAAATAATAATGTATTACGATTTAAATGTATTACGAGTAAAAAAAACGAATAAACCTTTCTAATAGGTACATTACAATATGTGATAATAAGACATTTGTCAGCTGATTCACTTCCTGAATTGGGCGGGTTTGTTGTTACGCTACGATTGGCTTAGAAACGTCAAATGACACAGTCAGCAGCATACCTTCCCTAAAACTACTGTACAAGGAAATAGACAAAGTTTCATTCAAAACACAAAATAGGTTCTACAAGGGTGGATTTTTTTGTCAGTGAAATAGATGATGTGACAAATAGCGCATGGAAATATTTTAATGAATAGTCATCATGTCGAAGTCTTTGGACTCACGTAATGCTATGTTCTGTTGTTCTCGATATAACCATCCCTTTTTAGGTAGAATGCGCATATATTTTTATGCTAATGTTAGACTTTTCGCTTAAAATCTGGATGGATGGAAACCTGGCCTTTGATAACTAAACGGCTTAGGACTGTAAGCTTTTGCAGTTGTGTAACTCTAGAACTAAAAACTTCCTCTGCGATGTCAGCCGGGGGATTAGCTCAAATGGTAGAGCGCTCGCTTAGCATGCGAGAGGTAGCGGGATCGATGCCCGCATCCTCCAATACTTTTCGCAACAACTATGGAGATATCTGTTGCTTATTCAAAGGCAACGTGTGTACATATCTAGTAGATGTGTAGTGAATATTTCTTGTCCAATACAAATTATAACTTGGAAAACGATTGTCTTCAATTTGTTCAACTGCATGCATTGTCTTCAATTTGTCCAACTGCATGCATGTCCAACAAGTTTCCATTCTTTCCCTCGATCTCTTTCAGTAGAGGGCAGTTTGTTCTCATCCAAAATAAAGGAAACGCTTGAGTAAATGAGGGATACAAAGTATATTGAAAGGAGGTGCTTCCACATAGTGTTGAGCTAAATCGATTATACATGATTAACTGCTGGGAAAGAAACCCATAAGCAGGCACCATAGTATTGTTAAATGTATTTAATTGGTCTCTGAAGAACTAGTTCACGTAGTCAGGGCCAGGGGTCTCTTTAAAAAAAAATCTAAATGCTGTGGAGCTGGAACCCAAACAAATGATGCTTTAGCTAAGTGTACCTTTAATGCACATTAATGTTACCCGAGCCGGGCCTAGAGGAAGGATCTCAAATTGAAGGTAGTGTGCAAAAGTCACCTATCATACCCCCAGTCAACATCCAAGTGAGCCTGCATCAGTATTCTGTACCACCACCATCATTACACTCTAACCACTCTAAATGTCAAAATGAGAACAAACTGAAAGCCAGGTTGTGTGTTACATGACATAATAAATGGATAGTGAGAAACGACTTTGTGTGCCGTATGCTACTGGCATCTGATCTGTCTGAGCAACACTGCTTAAGTCTTCATCTTAACTATGCCGTTTTATCCTAAGTGTTAAACAGGAGAGCAAGCCTCTGTTTCCATTGCTGAATATTTATATGTTTGATTTCTCCCTGTCGCTGCGTTGAATGATTCTTATGGTTTATTCAGGTACGGGGAGACTGAGGTTGGGTGCCTCAGGAGGTGATAAGTCCCCTGTAGCTCAGTTGGTAGAGCATGGCGCTTGCAGCGCCAGGGTTGTGGGTTCGTTTCCCACGGGGGGCCAGTATGAAAATGTATGCACTCACTAACTGTAAGTCGCTCTGGATAAGAGCGTCTGCTAAATGACTAAAATGTAATGTAAAAATTGTTTTTCAGTATATTCATAAAACATTTGATCTCTATTGGTCCTCATCAAAAGGGAATAGGGTGCCATTTGGGACGCTAGAAACCATTTCTACCACAGACCCAGAAACACATCAATATCCCGCGAGGCAGTCAAGTAACTGCTGAGCTAATCCTGTAGAGGTGACTTCAGGATATGACTTCTTTATGATTCCAAACAGGTAACACGACAATACCTAGTTGTGTGTGTGTCCTGGATCTGGACCCGTTGTGGTACGTGCAGCATGTGGTGGTGTGGGACCCTCAGACAGACCACCTGTTCTACACCCCCAGCCCAGAAAGTCTTCCTGCGGCCATGCCTTGGCGTCATCCCTAGGTCCTGCCCGTCTGCTTCAAGAGGAAGCCGGGGGATTAGCTCAAATGGTAGAGCGCTCGCTTAGCATGCGAGAGGTAGCGGGATCGATGCCCGCATCCTCCAATGTTTTTCGCAACAACTTTGTAGATATCTGTGGCTTATTCAAAGGCAACGTGTGTACATATAATAATAATATGCCATTTAGCAGACGCTTTTATCCAAAGTGACTTACAGTCATGTGTGCATACATTTTTACGTATGGGTGGTCCCGGGGATCTAACACACTACCCTGGCGTTACAAGCGAAATGCTCTACCAATTGAGCTACAGAGGACTATATGTAGTAGTTGTTTAGTGAATATTTATTGTCCAATACAAATTATAACTTGGAAAACGATTGTCTTCAATTTGTTCCAACTGCATGCATGTTCAACAAGTTTCCATTCTTTCCCTCGATCTCTTTCAGTAGAGGGCAGTTTGTTCTCATCCAAAATAAAGGAAACGCTTGAGTAAATGAGGGATACAAAGTATATTGAAAGCAGGTGCTTCCACATAGTGTGGTTCCTGAGTTAATTAAGCAATTTTATCGTCCCACCATGCTTAGCGTCATGCATAGAAATGCCCAGTTGCCCATTATTTTGGCTACCAATGACCATGGCTTGAAGAGATCTCAGTGATTTTGAAGAGGGGTTTCAAAGGAGCATAGGGGGTTTAACGTGTGTTTGTGTGTGGGTGTGTCTCAGTCACCAGATCTCAACCCAATTGAACAATTATGGGAGATTCTGTAGCGGTGCCTGAGACACAACCATCAACATAAAACACCAAATGATGGAATTTCACGTGGAATAATGGTGTCGCATCCCTTAAATAGAGTTCCAGTCACCTGTAGAATCTCTGCCAATTAGGTCCCATTGCCAAGGAGATGTCTCTGGCCATTGCTATGATGTCTGGAATGTTAAATACACACACACACACACACACACAAATAATTTACAGCCCTGAGTGGGAGTGAAAGGGTGCAGAAGGGAGATAACATCTTGCTGAAGTGAAATGCAGACCTGGTTCACGGTTAACAAAGACATTTGTATTTTCCCATCAGGCACCACAGCCCACCTGGGCATCAGTCTGTACAGGGTGACTGAAAGCGGCTTGCGCCACCCGCAGCAGGAAGGGGAGGGGACGTTCCAACGCAGTGGTCTGGACCTGTTTCACCTGGAGACCGACAGCAAGCTGGGAGAGGTGTGGAAGACACGCCTCTGGCAAGACAACACAGGTAACCATGACAACACCAGTGAATACTGTAGTTTCGCATTTCCAGACTTCATAGTCTCGTATTCACTCGCTTACTGGAACACAAGGAAAGCAGGAGATTGAGGCTCTATGTATTATGATTCCAAACAGGTAACACGACAATACCTAGTTGTGTGTGTGTCCTGGATCTGGACCCGTTGTGGTACGTGCAGCATGTGGTGGTGTGGAACCCTCAGACAGAGCACCTGTTCTACACCCCCAGCCCAGAACGTCTTCACGCGGCCATGCCTTGACATCATCCCTAGGTCCTGCCCGCCTGCTTCTAGAGGAAGCCGGGGGATTAGCTCAAATGGTAGAGCGCTCGCTTAGCATGCGAGAGGTAGCGGGATCGATGCCCGCATCCTCCAATATTTTCCGCAACAACTTTGGAGATATGTGTGGCTTATTCAAAGGCAACGTGTGTACATATAATAATAATATGCCATTTAGCAGACGCTTTTATCCAAAGCGACTTACAGTCATGTGTGCGTACATTTTTACGTATGGGTGGTCCCGGGGATCTAACCCACTACCCTGGCGTTACAAGCGCCATGCTCTACCAATTGAGCTACAGAGGACTATATGTAGTAGTTGTTTAGTGAATATTTCTTGTCCAATACAAATTATAACTTGGAAAACGATTGTCTTCAATTTGTTCCAACTGCATGCATGTCCAACAAGTTTCCATTCTTTCCCTCGATCTCTTTCAGTAGAGGGCAGTTTGTTCTCATCCAAAATAAAGGAAACGCTTGAGTAAATGAGGGATACAAAGTATATTGAAAGCAGGTGCTTCCACATAGTGTGGTTCCTGAGTTAATTAAGCAATTAAATCATCCCACCATGCTTAGGGTCATGCATAGAAATGCCCAGTTGCCCATTATTTTGGCTACCAATGACCATGGCTTGAAGAGATCTCAGTGATTTTGAAGAGGGGTTTCAAAGGAGCATAGGGGGTTTAACGTGTGTTTGTGTGTGGGTGTGTCTCAGTCACCAGATCTCAACCCAATTGAACAATTATGGGAGATTCTGTAGCGTTGCCTGAGACACAACCATCAACATAAAACACCAAATGATGGATTTTCACGTGGAATAATGGTGTCGCATCCCTCAAATAGAGTTCCAGTCACCTGTAGAATCTATGCCAATTAGGTCCCATTGCCATGGAGATGTCTCTTACCATTGCTATGATGTCTGGAATGTTAAATACACACACACACACAAAATGTACAGCCCTGAGTGGGAGTGAAAGGGTGCAGAAGGGAGATAACATCTTGCTGAAGTGAAATGCAGACCTGCTTCACGGTTACCAAAGACATTTGTATTTTCCCATCAGGCACCACAGCCCACCTGGGCATCAGTCTGTACAGGGTGACTGAAAGCGGCTTGCGCCACCCGCAGCAGGAAGGGGAGGGGACGTTCCAACGCAGTGGTCTGGACCTGTTTCACCTGGAGACCGACAGCAAGCTGGGAGAGGTGTGGAAGACACGCCTCTGGCAAGACAACACAGGTAACCATGACAACACCAGTGAATACTGTAGTTTCGCATTTCCAGACTTCATAGTCTCGTATTCACTCGCTTACTGGAACACAAGGAAAGCAGGAGATTGAGGCTCTATATATTATGATTCCAAACATGTAACACGACAATACCTAGTTGTGTGTGTGTGACCTAGGTCTGGACCCGTTGTGGTACGTGCAGCATGTGGTGGTGTGGGACCCTCAGACAAGACCACCTGTTCTACACCCCCAGCCCAGAACGTCTTCCTGCGGCCATG